CTAATAAACGGTATTTAATTTTTACTTTCCCGACTGTTATGTAACAAACGGAATCGGTCAGAAAATGACCCCCACCCCTTAAAATCTATACATTTTTTGACTCGGTGACCTGAAAACATTGAGAAATGCCAAAAAAATTAGGGGATTTTTCTATATGTATGGACGTTAGAGCGTAAAGGGCACTATTGTCTTATCTAATTTAATGTTTAATATCTCACGTGCCCATTGTCGAAAATTTCTGAAATTTTGGCCAGAGACTTGTGTTTCAGAAGGAAATATTTCTAGAAATTTTCAGAGAAATCGGATCATCGGTTCGCGAGATATGACCCCTCCATCCCCTTAATACCTTCCGAAGCAATATAGAAGTTCCAACAATAACCAAGCTTTTTCTTTCTACATTCTGAATATAATTTTCACATCATCATCCTCCTAGATCATCCCAGAACGAAATCTTATTTACGCCACCGATTATAGTAGTTGATATTTAAGATGTATGTATGTAGATACGGAGGAGTGACGAGCAGATGTTTAAAGCAAATTCATAAAAGAAAACTTTTATGATATATTAATAGACACGCTGAAGTGTTGCATTCTTTCTTCTTATCCAACCGAGCTATTGTTTTATTTATTATAATAAACAAGGTTATTAAATTATATTGTATTTACTCGTATAATGAGTAAAGGTGATAAACTCGTCTTTGTTTCGAGTTTTAAGACGTTAAAACGTCGTATAAAATAAATTTTAAATGTTGTATTTTTAAAATGGTATAAAAATTTAATGTAAAAATAAATTTTTTCTCTTATTTTATACCATTTAAAAGTTATGTGAATTTTATTTTTTGAAGTACTTTAATTTTATTATATATATATAGCCTATAGAAATTTATTTTAATAATGTTTTACTTATGTTAATTTAATTTAATGGGAAAAATTATAATTAAAACATTATAATTTTTTTTAATGTTTTTAAGGTAAAATTTCGGTTTAAAGTTAAAAAAATGGAAGTTTATTTTCTTAAAATTCTACTTTAAAATATTTACAGTCGACCCCCCCTATAACGCTGTTGATAATTCCGTTTTATATGAATTCCATGTTGTACGAGTCACTTAGATTTCGGTTTAAAGTTAAAAAAATGGAAGTTTATTTTCTTAAAATTCTACTTTAAAATATTTAGTCGACTCCCCCCTATAACGCTGTTGATAATTCCGTTTTATATGAATTCCATGTTGTACGAGTCACTTAGATTTTACAAATACGTGAGCCGTTCACAGCCTGGCACACGTATTTGTAAAATCTAAGTGACTCGTACAACATGGAATTCATATAAAACGGAATTATCAATAGTGTTATAGGGGGGTCGACCGTGTAATTCGTGTGTAAATTATACCAAACTTATATAAAATTATTCTTTTTTTTTAAATTTCTTATAAATCTTAAAACGTTTTAGGAGAAAATATTTCCAGGAATTTCATTAAATTATTACATTTTAAACGTTGCATTCATAACGAAAAACAAGAAAAGGAAGTTGGAAAACTGATTATAGTAAAAGGAAATCTATAAATGAGATAAGTACATAAAATCACGTCCGTTTAAAAATAAACACGAACAAAAACTATTTGCAATAAAAATGTATAAATATTTATAATTTATTTGAATTTAATAATAAATTTATACAATTTATATACGTATAAAAAAAAAGAAGAAAAGAAAGAAAAAAAATGCATCTTTGAAAGTGAAAAAAGTACATATAATTTCCATTAAAACACGTCAAAAAAATGAGACAATTTTATAAACAAATCACGACGATAACAATACAGATAAGTACTTTTATATATACATAAATTGAATTTTATATAACTAGATTTTCCTGTTCGAATTCTTCGCCTTCTTCTAATTTCCTAGCTAATTCGCTAATGACGTCTCTAAAGAGGAGAGTATCGATATTTTTACTGAGTTGATACAAAACGAACCAATCGCCAATATTAGTCGAACTAACAATAAATTTTAGATGCTTGAGGGGTACGTGACGGCATCGAAATCTCATAAAATAAATCCTCAAACAGGGTATGGCCAACGTTAGAATTCGAGCGGCGAGTACTATGGAAGTAAAACATGCTAAAATAATAAACCAGAACCATAAAAATATATAGATCTTCTCGTTGACGATGTTTAGAGGTAGAACGCACATGACGTCATACGTTTCAACGTTTCCGGAAGGGCCGTAGAGGTGAAAAATGCACTTTGTAACCCGTGGGAAGACGTAGATCATTGGATCGATCCTGATGTCTTGATCGTCTTGAGAATATTTGATCACGTCTAGTCCGTACTTGAAGAATTCACCGTCGAAGAATTTATCCATGAGAAACATTTGGCCCACCACGTTGACGAATGTGAGCAATTCGCATAAGAAATACTTGAGCGCGTACATCCTGTGGTGCTTGAAATGTTTGACCATATACTCCATGATCAACTTCTTGCGCTTCTTCAATTGCTCGCCTGAGAGGACGGCTACTTGCAATTCGAACGACATGGCTTTCATCAGGCCACCCTCCCAAATTAACCATAAATAATAAGGGATATAGAAAAGTACTGCCTGGAGGAACAGGACGAAACAAATCCATTGATAATACGCGTAGTGTTTGCGTTCGCCATTTGCAGAATTGTCGATTCCAGGATGTGGCACATCCAGGCCGATTCTCTTGGTGAATGAGTCTGGTATGGTAAAGGTAGGATGTATCCAGCAATAAGTATCCAAGATCTTTGCTGGTATCTTTTCAGCAAGTAGGCATTCGATGGGATCTCCTACATACTGTCTGGCTGCTGTTATGAAGCTGAAAGCGATAAGAAATACAGAAGTTATCAACCAGTGCAGTCGGAATACTGCATTGTCGATAACAACTCTTTCTTGTTTGAGAATCTTCTGCAGGCCACCGAAGATGTCCAACATGGTAACGAACCATTAGCCCCTTTACCTCGGTCTTCGACCTATTTGTAACAAAATCGAAATGTCAGAATTCTCAAGAATATAAAAATAAATTACCAATCTTATCTAGAAGATTGTCGGGTGCCAACTGGAAAGTACGAAATCTCTCTGATTCATTATATTTAAATATAGCCCCCTATAAATCGTTACTAAATCGTAAATAATTCTTTTAAGGCAACATGTTTTGTAACTCGTATTCATTACAGCGTTACAGATTATAATTAAACGGAAACCATTCATCTGTAAAGAGAAAAATAAAAAAAAGGGATATTATAATTGGATCCGGGCACAATACCTGTCCTTTTTAATAACCCCAAAAATTAATCTTTCCTAACAAATTTCGACACCGATCACATGACTTTCCTTGTGGTTTACACACACATCTGGCGAGAAAGTCGTTCACCTATGAAGGAACACAATGGTTTTTCTGATGCATAAGTTTATTTTCTGAATGTTTATATGATAATTTTATGAAGGATTTCGGGGGGAGGGGGTGATTTTCCGTCATAGGGACGATCGATTCCACCAGACGAAAGCAATGCATCAGTCGTAGGGTCATTTATCGAACGCTATGACTCATTACTGTCGCGATGTTGATTCATAAACTCTCGTTTAGACGCATTTCCAAAGAAAAATTCAACTATTATCACATATATGTGATTGTATTTCGGCGCGCATTAGACGTAGAAACAGGTTTAGGGAACGAATTAAAATGTAATGAAGTAACGAGATCCTCTCCATATAAAAAAAAGAAAAAAATAGGTTGATGCACTTAAAAAACAAAAGAAAAACCATTGTTAAAATGAACCCACTAAAGAAAACAACCCGACAGAAAAAAATAAGCAGAAAGCCTACACTTACCTACGTAATTATTCATAAACTTATCTTCACGGATTCGGATAGGAGAGGAACCGCATCCCAACACGACCTTGCCTAGTCTACACACCGGACCTAGATGGACTAACACGTGCTACTACATAAACACGGCGTGACTAATCACGTGACGTGTTACTACGGCAACAAATAGGGCTGGAGGGGGGATGATTTTTTTCCTTCCCCCACTCTATGCAGCAAGAACATGACTCCTGTCTTAATGCGATAAAACGGCGAAACCTTCGCTAAATAAAATGCTAGAACTGTGCAGTGACGAAGAATCACTTCTTCCCTGTCGACGTCGTTATAAATATTATCTTTTTCTACAATTTTTCCCATTTCCTACATCTACATTAATAATGACTTGATTACAGGATCTGTGGTAACAATGCGTTTCGACATTGATATATTATTAAATATAAGCTTATAATATGAACAACTGCTGAAGGATTCTGTCCTCGATATATATTTTATTTTAAAAAAAGAATAATAATAATAATAATTCCCCTATAATTACTAGCAACAGATGGCGTTAGTGTAATAGATGCCCCAGGCTCAAAATTCAAATTCTATGTTATAAAATACCGTAGAAAAAGAAGGGGGAAAAATTATGTAATTGTTAATTGGTTACTTTATGCACATTTAGGTCACTTCCTGCGTATAATTACTTAATAAACGTGATTTCTGCATCCGTGTAAAGAGTAGAATTAAATATATTAAGTAAATTTATTAAAAATTCTAATTCTAGGCTCGTTATTTTATTAAAATTCGTATTTTAAATGATATAAAATCGAAGTTAGTTTTATCATTTTTTTACATAGAAATCTGTTGTTTTAAGCTTGTTTTTTTTAATGGAAATTCAATATTTTAATATTTAATTAATCCATTATTGGTTTTAATTGTGTATCATTGTTAAAAGTTTTAATAAAAATTAATTATTTAAGAATATATAAAGTGTATTGGAGCTACGTATTGAAGTTTAGATATAAAATGATTTATATTTTAATATTCCTACTTAATACTACTGAAGAATAGGAAGTGTTCCTATTATAGATTTACATTAAAATCTGTATTAGGAACTTAAATTTGTAGTTTAAAAATTACTTTTATACGCTTTGTTTATTCTTAAATAATTAATTTTTGTTAAAATTTATTCCATTTTCCTAATTTTAATAAGTTTTTTCTTTTTTTTCCGCGTAATTTCAGTCAAATTCCGTGATTAATTCGTGTCAAATCTCTTCAATTTATATTTAAAGGCGACGTAAATTAATCAGATTTTTTTTTATTTAATTAGAATTTACTTTAAATATAATATATTTTTTTTTTCTTCCTTCGATTCTAAATTTGATCGCGTTAATTGCCACTATTTTAGAGAATTTTTGCACACTTCTTCGATATTATTTAAAGAAAAATTCGCAGATTTTGATAAAATTTGCCCACAAAAACTTTAATTTTTAATCAATTCGAACGGTTAAAAACCTCATTTTTGTTTAATTTCATCAAAAGAAAACGAAGAAGAGACTTTCGTTTAACCTTTTCTTCGATTTTTTTTTTTCCATTTTCTCGAATAATTTAACGTGCAAAAAAGAAGGAAAAAGAAAAAAAAGTGATTAAAAATCCTTCGACAATTGTCTAAATGTGATTTTTCCAACCGAGCAGAAAACACAAATTTCGATTTTATGATCGTATCAAAAAATAATTAGACTTATACACCTATTGAAGCGTGTAAAATTTTCTATCCCCTTTCTACGTTCAAAATTTATCACCGTTATTAAATATAATGGATTCGGCACAAAAACCTAAATTTATCGACCGTATCTTTTGTCAATGTATCGAAAAATCAATAAAAATAAGCAAAAAAAGAAGCATCACGTCGTCTACAAATCTTCATACGAATGCAACAAAAATACATAATTAAAAACACATTAATGGTGTGTGCTAAAAATACGGAAAATAAAGAAGGAAAAATAAAGTAAAGAGGGTCAGTGCACTTATAAAAATTAAATTTTAAAAGTGTTCCTTCGTATGTGAACTCGCCACACTGGCTAGATCGAAGAATCTTTATCCCTTTCTTGCCTAAATTGCATAATCTTCATCCCTTTCTTGCCTAAATTGCATAATCTTCATCCCTTTCTTGCCTAAATTGCATAATCTATATCCCTTTCTTGCCTAAATTGCATAATCTTCATCCCTTTCTTGCCTAAATTGCATAATCTATATCCCTTTCTTGCCTAAAATGCATAATCTTCACTCCTTTCTTGTCTAAAGTGCACAATCTTCACCCCTTTCTTGTCTAAAGTGCATAATCTTCACCCCTTTCTTGCCTAAAGTGCATAATCTTCACCCCTTTTCTTGCTGAGTCTTCACCCTTCCTTGCTATTTTCTACACTCCTATTAATACTTTAACCTTACGTCGACTAGTGTATAACAAATAACAGTGCATGAATTTTATAATTAAGAAGATGAAATCTTACATGAAACTATTGAAAAATCGAAGCCGATATGAACGTGACTCACGAATAACACGAGTTCCTTATAATTGGGGGTGACCTAACGTAATTACTTCGTGTCAACAGCTGCTCTAAAGTTCTTTAGTTGCTATATTAGTTTGTAAAATAACCCGGCATTCTTTCATTTTATTTTTTTTTATACAAGCGTGATAATGAAAATAAATGGGAAGGCAAACTGGCCGGTTTTCAATGTCGACTAGGAACGCGTATAGATATATATAACGTACCTTTTAGGTCCTTAAGTGACGTCACAGCGATTCGTTAGTGTATGGAACAGTAAAGTGTACACGTGGAAGGGTAGAGAACGGAAATTGCAACAATGGCATACGGCAGACAAATACAAAAACCGCTCGTATGGAAAGTTTCCGCTAGTTTTTTTTTTTTTTTCGACGGGAGGCTTGACCACATAACCATGACGAAAATATAAGGTCATATCGTTAATATATAAACTCTCTTTTATATTCTTTGCAACTCTAACCGACTTCCCTTCGTAGCTTAGCGATGTTTATGACGTAGAAAATCATCGTTTACGTCATCCAAACGTTCCCTCTTCTTTGTTTTCTTACTCTAATTTATTAAATAAACCCATTTTATAATATATATATATAAATTCTAGTTTATATTTTCTAGACAAGTTATTTGTGCCAAACAAATATTCACTTTTTATAGAAAATTTTTCAATAATTAAAATTCTACGCCTATGACAACTCACAAACCATAACATTCGTCACGAGAAATTAAAGAAATTTTTTTATTTTATTCTAAATTTTAATAAATAATAATAATAATAATNAATCGGAGATTTTAGATCCATGACAAGACTCTTCACTCGATCTCCTTCCATGGCTTTCCAGAAGTATCTTGGAAGGTAAAATAATATGGCTTGAAGGAACAGAACGAAACATACCCATTGATAATAAGCGTGATGGACTTTCTTTTCACCTTTGACGAATTTGTCTACTCCAGGATATGGAACTTCTTCGCCAACTTCTTTGTGCCATGCTGATGGTACGCTGAACGTCGTGTGAATCCAACAGAAGGTATCGAGTAGATCGGATGGTATGTCGTCTTTCGATATGCAATCTATGGGATCTCCGAAGTATTGTCTTCCCGTTACCAACAAACTGAACGCGATCAGTATGATCACGGTTAAACGATAGTGTAACTGGAAAACGTAATTATCTATAACAGTTTTACCTGTTTGAAATAACTTTCTTAATCCACCAAAGAATTGATCCATCTTGATTCTAACTAGGCCTAATTCTAATCTCACATTTACTGCTTACGTGATAGAAAGTAAGAGATAAAAACTTTACTTTTGACCAATCAGCAACGTAATCTTTCGTTTGTTTAGTTACATTTTTATGGAATTTTATCAGAATTTTCGCTAAATTCTTTCGAAACAAAGGCGAAATCGAAATTTAAAAAAATAATAAAATAATTTATAATATTTTATTGTGAAATTATATATATACAGGCCTATATATAACCAGGAACTGAGTAATTTTTTAAATTTATTTACCGTATTCGAGAAATATTTAAGCGTTATCATGAATGTAGACGTAAATTACGATACAGGTGACGATCATAGTCCTTTTTAATATTTAAATGTTTAAGTGGAAGCGACTTAAAATAGCCTTTGTCTTAAATTTGGGTCAATTTCTCTATTAATATATAATCGCTTCCAATTATGAATGAAATTATAAAGCTATTTAATTATAAAAATAGAATAAAATTAATCTCAATCAAAGAGGCGATGTATTATTATTATTTTTTTTTTAATTTTACTTACTTAAATTACACTTTAAAAAATTATATTCTGCATTTAATTTATGCAAATAGGGTGTAGGATGTAAAATTAAAAGAGAAGATCGTGAAATTTTTAATTGCTGGCTGACACACGGACGGACGGATAAAATTATAGGCCTATAAGCTATTTTTTTTTTTGAATTGGTAAGGAAGAAGGTATAGATTTTTGGCTTTTATTTAAATATATTAAACATTAGGTAGCTGCTCTGTTGAAATATTAAAGAATAGAATTGTTGGAAGGTGTAGGGGGAGAAAAAATAGGGTAAGATAATTTATTAAAATTATTTGCCAAGGAAAATTATCAAGTATTGGTACGTTTCGTGTCAGATAGATCTTATCGTCGGCTGAATAATTTCCTGGCAAAATCGCAAGAATTGTTAAATGTAATTATATAAATAGATAGATTTTCTGAAGAATTATTTCGTTTCTTGGACATTTATCAGAAACGCACCTATTAAAAGTATGGAAGGGTTTATGAATTCGTAACTCTTATCATTTGTATACAATGAATTCGTCGTAAGTAAATGCAATATTTAAACTTTTGCCTTACTTAAATACATAGTTCTTTCGTCTGTAAAACATAGAAAAATATTTTTTGATCGATATGCTTTGTTTATTTTATAATGGAGTAGTGAAAGTACAGCCAGTGGCGCGTCAATCTATGGGCAAAAAGGGAAGGCCCTAGGTTTCGTGGGAGCCCATGAAGGTATAACGCGCCACTGGTTACAGCGAAATTGAGGAACAGAAGTAAATGGTAACCACCAATTCGTCTACAGTTACTTTCAATCGATTTAAAAATTATTTATTTCTCTTACTAACCATAAAAATTATAAGATTAATGGCGGTGTCGTCTCAGGTCACGTAAGACTTCTGTAACAAATAATAAATAATAATAAAGAAGAATAATGCCAATGAGAATATTTCTTCTTCTATTTACTATAATTTTAAGCTTCTTGAAGAGTTACCGACAATATTAAGCGCATTTATAGATTTGTTAGTAAAGAAAATGATAGAAGTTATCAAGAATTTTGGTAAATTATATGCTATCTTCATCATAGTAAATAATAAACGAGTAAAATTCCACTGTAAAATACGCGAA